GATTAAGTGCATTTTATTGTTTATGGAAACTAATTTAATGCTTTTAATAGAAAATGTCATATATCAGAGGATTAGTGATTTGCACGTATCTAATTAATTAGGGTTTGACATTTTAGATTTTATTACTAAGGTTTTGTGACAGATTTTTTCCAGAAGTTTTTCAAACCAGTATTTAAATACAGAAAACAAAATGCCATCCTTAATTACCTGCACTGGAATGTCTGACAGTAGTGTCCTTTAAGGTTATATCCTCCCCAGAAGCAGTGCTTGGTATGGACCCGATCCTGTCGTCTTCTGCAGTTACTTTAAAGATATGAGTAAGGGCTCCAGTTTCGTACTTAAAAACAAGGGCAGAAATTGTTCTGACCTCTTATTACAACAAATTTAAAATTATATGAATGGGGAAGAATTTTTCTGTATCCAGGTAGAGGAATATTATCTCTGGGTCTGTCTGACTGATGAATTTCACTATAGCAGCCCGGGACATCCTTCTTTTTCTCGTCACTGCCCTCATAGTGCACTACTATTGGAAAGCAAATTCATAATAAATAAAAGAACTAAAGCAGCATTTCTGCCTACACACTTTGGCGATGCCAAAGTGTCAGATGATAAGATGCTATTAATCTAAATTATGCTGTCAATCTAAATGAAATTCATTAGTATATCCTGAGCAAAACCAGCATGCAGTTAGGGAATCTCGTCTGTCCTCTCTAAAATAAAATGAACTCCGTTTAGAAGCAAACAAATTTCAGCTTTATGACCCAGTGCAGTGCAGCACAACCCCTTCGTAGCAGCAGTTGTCTCACAGAGAGCCAGCCGAGAGCTTTTTTGTAGCGCACTGAACTGGGCTTCTTCAATAGCATCAACAATTACCTTAATGTAGTGTTAACAGTTGTAATTATTTTTATACGGAAAGCATACTTCTCAAATATCAAAATTAAATGAAAAGCAAGCAGAGAAGTGAAAACTAAGAGCAATAAAACATAAAAACCGAATAGACTTCTAATAAACCCCAAAGAAAAATACATAACACTGGTGTAAACAGTTTTCATATCATGAATCAGATTCTGTGTTGACGGCCAGGTCAATAAAGTCAAAGGAAGCACAAGATTTAATATTCTGTCATTGTAATGCTAAACAAGAGAAAATTCAACCAATTTCCATGTCAAACTCTACGAGAACTAAAAATCGGGCACTGCCTTAAAGTGCATCCATTAATTAAAATCCAATATTTGAAAACGCATAATTTCCATTCCGAGCAGCCTGTGAAACCAAAATCCGCTCCGTGAGCCGCAGCCGGGTAAGTAGCAGGTTGATCTCCCAGGAACCCGCTCAGTGACGGTGCTCTGCGGGACGGGACGCTCCCGCACCTGGTACTCCCGAGCAGTTTGTCTTTTCAGAGAAAGCACCTTTCCCTTTCTCACCAAATCTCTTTGCTTTTGAAAGAATAGGAATTAAAAGGCGGGAGAGAGCATGTTAATTTGACAGAGCTACCACAAAGCCTCATTTTTCACCCTCTCCGACTCCCCGAATAGGAAAATATTTGGTTTTCTGACTCCTGGGGTTTGATTTCGTTGCTGTGCCGTCGGGGGCACTTTTGCTGTTGACTGAACCGGGACAGTGGCACGTCCGGAGCCTCTCCGCAACCCTCTCTGGAATGCCACTGTTCGGGGGGATGGCGGGCACTTGTCCGGCGGGGAGAGACGACGGCGAGCGAGCCCAGCCAGCCCGCCCCGGGGCAGCGCGGACCCCCGCCCGCCAAGCGCACCCACCGCCCGCCGCCGGGATGGGACGGCCCTGCCGCTCTCCGCAGGTTTAGCCAGAAAGTGTCCGGATCAGTGTCCTCCCACGTGGCTGCGCCCACGAGTGGCACTTCCCACGCACCGCTCTGCTGAGCTGAGACCTTGACTTTTTTGCCTTTTTTTGTCTTTTTTTCCCCCTCAATGCTTCTTTTTCTCTTTCCTTTTCTCTTATTTTTCTTTTTTTTCTTCTTTTTCTTTTCTTCCTTTCTTCCTTTCTTTTCTCCTTTCCTTCTTTCCTTCCTCCTTTTCTTCTTTCCTTCCTTCCTTACTTCCTTCCTTCTTTCCTGCCTTATTTACTTCTTTCTTTCTTTCCTTCTCCATCTATCTCTCTCCAGCATCATCAAAGTAGAAGTGGCACAGGAAACCACGGGAAGGCTGGACGCGCCAGGCAATGTTACGACCAGCAATCGTGCTGGAACAGTTCTGCCCATTTCCAAAACGACTTCCCTGGTGGGACTCCATGTGCCCGGGATTTAACCTCGCGTAACTTTCTCAAATCCCTCCTTTGCCCTAAGGCGACCCCGGATGGAGCCGAGCCCAGCCGCCCCGTCCCGGGGGAGGGATGTTGCGGCAGTGCAGGCGGAACCGGCCCGCACAGACGAGCCGGGGGTACTGGGGAGCAGTGACATGATCGGGAAAGGAGAGAAAAAATTATTAGTAATATTCCTTCGAGTGACGAGACGACCTTTACTTCCCGTCCCAGCGCCCTCCCCTCTCCTCTCCGCGATGCACTGGCGGCTCCGTAGTCCGGCATCGCCCCCCTGTCCCATCCCTATGAAACCCACGGCCCGGAGTGAAGCGGGACTCGCAGGAGCAGCCCGCCCTGCCAGAGGTGAGGATGGGACCTCTCCTGTTGCTTTCCCCGACGGCATCTTTTCGCCTTCCTCTTCTGTGTCCCCGTTCGACCCGAACTTCCCCAAACCGAGCTGCGTGTCTGCTCCGGAGCGGCGGACGCGGGGATGAGGGGTGACAGCCTCCAGCCCCGAGGCCGGGGTTTTCCCCCCGATTCTGCGCGTTGTTATGCCGCTGCCGCCGTCACCGTATCAATTTTTGTTCATTTCCTTCACCCCGGCTCTACGGGAGAAAAGAACTGATGGAGGAGCGCGCAGCCCCCAGGAGCCGCCCGGAGAGCGGCTCCGCGGGATGCGGAGACAGGCGGCGCCCGGCTCGGCGGGGGCGGACGGCGCTGCGGGCTCCGGGCCGGGCCGAGGTTCCTGCACGTATGTCCGACAAAGCTGTCAGCTGTGGAAAAGTCTGAGTGGGTTTGTGGCTTTCGCGGTGGAAGCGGGATAAAGTCCAGGTCTCGCTGAGTTACTTTTAATATATTCTCTTAAATATTTCTTTTCTTTTCTTTTCTTTTCTTTTCTTTTCTTTTCTTTTCTTTTCTTTTCTTTTCTTTTCTTTTCTTTTCTTTTTCTTCTCACCGCAGGTTTTACTGACAGTGCAGAAATCAGAAGGCTTTCATTTTGCTCAGCAGATTAACCACAATTAGACTCAGTCGGACGAAAGTATTCCTCTTTTCCTTACTCTTCACCCTCCTCGGGGCCTGGACACTACGGAGGAGCGAGGCGCTGCCAAGGAGATTTCTGCCGGGCCCTAAACGCCTTTTGGAAGGTGATCACTCAGCCCGTCGATTTCACGCGAGAGAGCGTGGCACCAGGGCCGGCTTTGAGAGTTCCAGAGCCCGTCCGACGCCGTTGGCTCAGGCCCTGTCCTGGCTGGCAGCCCCGCACTCCTCGCGTACGCACCACGGGAGGCTGGAAAGATCCGATGGAGGACCACAGGCCCTTCCCCGGACACGCAGACTCCCGCCGCCATCCCCGCGGGGGGATTCTCACCTCCCCACACCGGCAGACGCCGCAGGCGGCCAGGCCGGCTCAGTCGGCACCCGGGGCAGAGGCAGAGAAGGAGCTCAGCCGAGAGCTGGGGAGGTGATACCCGCCCGGGGGCCCCGCCCGCCCTGCCGGTAGAGCACCCCCTCCCTCCCCCGCGCCACCGCTGGCTGCGCCCGGTGCCGGGCCCCTTCTACTTACTGGCGCTAAGGCCTGGATATATTTGCAGCGCAGCCCCCCGAGCTGGTTCCCTTCCCGCCTGCGTCCGGCCCGGCCCAGCCCGGCTCTGTCGGTCCCGCCGACGGCCGCTCCGGCGCGCCGCCCTCCCGACGGAGCCCGCGGCCGCGGAGCCCTGGGGACTGCCGGCCGCCCCTCCCGCCTCCGAGCACACCGGTTTGCCGCCGCACCCTGGCATTCCCCGTTTATTTAAAGGGAGTCACTGGCCCGGGGGGAGGCGGTTTTCCCAGCCAGCATCTCCCCGCCGCGGCTGCCCGAGTCATCATCGTTCATTTAAACAAAGCAGCGACCCAGGTACGAGGCAGTCGCAGCCAGCCCGCCCAGGCATGGGCCAGCCGGTGCCGCACCACACACCCCGGCCGGGGGCGACAGGGGAGGGAAAGGCAAACAAAGCAGGGAGTCCCGGCTGGAGCCGGGCATGTTGCAGGACGGGGACGTCCTCCTGCCATAGCGGGGGGACTTCCCGGGGCGGCTTCTGCCCGCTGTCGCCCGTCACTGGGGTTTCCTGGACGGCCCCGAGCAGGCGCGCAGCCCTTCGCAGCCCCCTGCCTTCCTACTGTGGACGGGATGAGGTTTTATATTGGAAATGAAGGGGCAGGGGGAGGAGAAGGAGCGCACACGGAGCGATGAGTGTGCGGTGTCAATCAGAGGGGTTTTGTGTCTCCTTGACTCCTGATGGTCCGTGGCTGAGGTGTCCCGGGTGGCACCACAATGAATATGAATAGGGGTCCTTGCTAAATGGGACAGTCAAAGCGCACCGCCCTGAATAATGGCACGTCATCCTAACTAGACCATTATACATAGGAGGGCTCCTTTTGTCTCTGCTCTGTGCTGCAGCTCTATAAAAGCCCCTCTTTTTCAGGCTGAGGTTAGTCCAAGCATACACTAACTAGCCATCCTGTAAACAGCCTGAGTAACCGTGTGGAGAGAGAGAGAGAAGAGAGATTGAAGACAGAGGGGGCTGAGGGGCTTTTTTCTTCTTCTTCCTCCATTTCCAGCCCTTCGCTGGCAGACCCTGCCATCCGTTTATTTCTTTTTCTCTTCGATTTTGTTTCTTTTTGAAGGAGAGTTGTCTTGTTCCACCAGCTCCAGAGCAGGGAAGAGTTTCTTGCTCAGAAGCCTGAATACAATGAATTCTGACTCCAGCTCTGTCTCCAGCAGAGCTTCCTCGCCAGACATGGATGAGATGTACCTGAGAGACCACCACCACCACCACCACCATCACCACCATCAAGACAGCCGGCTCAACTCTGTCTCCTCCACCCAGAACGACCTGGTGCAGAAGATGTCCGGAGAAGGCCTCACCAGGAACGGCTCCAAGGCCGGAGGGGAAGGCAGCAAATACAAAATCAAGAAGCAGCTTTCGGAGCAGGACCTGCAGCAGCTGCGGCTGAAGATCAACGGCCGGGAGCGTAAGAGGATGCACGACCTCAACCTCGCCATGGACGGACTGCGGGAGGTGATGCCCTACGCCCACGGACCTTCCGTGAGAAAACTCTCCAAAATCGCCACCCTACTGCTAGCCAGAAACTATATCCTGATGCTAACCAGCTCCCTGGAGGAGATGAAGAGGCTGGTCGGGGAAATCTACGGGGGGCACCACTCGGCCTTTCACTGCGGCACGGTTGGACACTCCACCGGGCACCCTCCCCACGCCGCCGGCACTGTGCACCAGGTGCACCCCATCCTCGGCAGTGCCTTGTCCTCCGCCAACACCTCCTCCTCCCTCTCCGCCTCCCTGCCAGCCATCGGCACCATCCGGCCCCCACACTCCCTGCTCAAGACCCCCTCGACGCCCCCCGCCCTGCAGCTCGGCAGCGGCTTCCAGCACTGGGCGGGCTTGCCGTGCCCCTGCACCATCTGCCAGATGCCTCCCCCGCCCCACCTCTCGGCCCTCACCGCGTCCAACATGGCCAGGATCTCGGGGGAGACCAAGGACCTCCTGAAGTGACTCGGCGGGGTTCCCCCGGCCGCTGGGGCTGCGCCGGAGCCAGAGCTCCCACGGACGGGGAGGGGGCTGCGGCCGCCCCTCCCCCGGGCCGCCGACGGACCTGTCCCCGCTGCCCCCCGCCCTGCCAACCCCCCTGTAACACAGGATTAGTGTAGTAAGGACCTTGCAAAGGTAATGTTATACCCGGCTCCTCGGGCGATGTTTTCTTATTATACTAACTGGAAAAAAAAAGTCCCCGTTGTAAAAAGAATGATAATAATAATAATATTAATGCCGCTGATGGTAATCAAATGTAAATGATTCCTTAAAATGTATGTAAAAGGGAAAAAAAAAAAAGACATGGTTGTCGTTGTAGTTTTCGCATCTACTAAGAGACGATGAGATCAATTTGGGGCTTTTCCCCCTTCTTTTTCCTGGCTTTTCCTTTCTTTTCTTTCGCACGGCGACACCTCCGAAATTTCCCGCTCCAAACCTGGCTGCGCCAGCGCAGCGGCGGCCCAAGATAGCCCAGAGAGTGCATGCATGCTTCCCTCCCCAGCTTGTCATTCGTGGGGACCGGCCATAGGCAGCTCCCCTGGCAACAGGGACTTCCGAGAGAATTCACTGAAGTTTTTGAGTGTGATTTATTGTTTGGAGGGTTTGTGGTTGATTGGTTTTTTGTTTCTTTCTTTCTTTGTTTCCCCCAATTTTGGTTGTGATGCAGTTTTGTTTGCAGTACTTTTTCGTCTTCCCCCTGTGAAGAAAAAAAAAAAAAAAGAGGAAAACAGTGCAAAACACAACACAACCATCCTGCGGATCTGTTTTGCCAAATCTCCCATCTCTTGCTCTCGGTGAAGTGTGCTAATTCAGCTGGCTGGGATACTAATTTCTCCTGCTGGCTTTGGTTTGGGTTTGTTTGTTTGTTTGGGTTTTTGTTTGGTTTGGGGTGGGGTTTTTTTGCATTGCTATAGTTTGGTTTTGCATGCGGGGATCAGCTCTTGCCACATCAGTGACTTGTAAAACTAAATCGGAAGCTTTGTTGCTTTTTATTTCCTCTTCGGTACGCTTTCCTGGGATTTTGCTTGAAATGATGTTATTATTCATTTCTTTCGTTTGTTTGTTTGTTTTCGGTTGGGGCCTCAAAGACAACACCGTGTCTTTATTTTTTATATATTCTTGATAACTATCGATATATTTATTATTGACCAGTGTTTCTGGATGAGATTTCCAAATAAAATAAAAAATTAATTCCAAGCTGACTGTTTCGCTTTTGTCCGGGACTGGACGCTCAGAAGAGGCGCCGTATTTGATCGATTTGGGTTTCGCCAGGACGGCCCAGACGAGGAGGAGGTCGGCGCATCCCCGTGTGCGGCTCGGGAGCAGCCACCAGCCCGACGTGGTCCGCTGCGTGCGAGCTGCCGGGCAGCTTCCGGCAGTTTTCCACCGGGCTGGGAAGCCGGCAGGAATTTACCAGCCGATGGCCGGTCCCGCAGACAGAGCCAGGCGGCGGGAGGACGGGCCGCGGGCACGGCTGGGAGGGGCGCTGGAGCGTTCATGGGCAGTAACTTTTTTTTTTTTTTTTTTTTAAACTCCGGCTGTCGGCCCTTTTCCGGGAGGGAAATGGCAAGATGGACAGGGTTGGGATAGGCATCTCGGCCCCGTCGGGAGGCGGTGTTCCATGGGGAGCAGCGCGCGGTGGGGTGCGGCATCCTCGAGGGAGCGCGGCTGGCGACTCCCAGCTCACTCCGGCTCCGCACACGGGAGCGGGGTCCTGCACTCTCCACCCAGACCCGGTCCCCTGTCTTATGCGAAAGGGGATATCCGGGAAGGGCCTGAAGAAACACAGAGAAGGTGACTCCCCCTGATTCGCAAGGTGAGTAGTGAGAGAGGAAGGACGGGTGGAGCATTTAAACCGAAATGCAAAACAATTTTTGAAGGCACCTGTGGGTGATCCGTGCTGGTGAACTGCAGCACCCAAATCAGGGTTAAGACAAGCACTCAAACACAAATATTTGCCTCTAAAACTTACTGAACTAACAAATCACGTTGTGATAAATCATTCCCAGGCTGAAGTAAATCCTTACCGTAATTCAGCAAGATGATCAAGATATGCTGCAGTTTCCCTCCCTTCCTCCCTCCTTTCCTTCCCTCCTTCCCTCCTGTTTTCAGCTGTTTTCAGTTTTTTCGTCACTGACTGGTCCCCGCCCGCCCCAGTCGATTAGGGTGGGTGTCCTTGCCAGGGAGAGGGCGCAAGACCGGGAGGTGGGTATTAAGACTGATGGGTGCAACCTGTGCTCCGTGAGGGGCTGTCCTTGAGGAGGGGGCCGGCGGGGTGACCCCCCGGGGCCGTCGGAGCTGTGCTCCGGAATCTGTGCAGGACGTGGGCACCCGCCCTGCCGTCCCGATGGGAGAGGCTGAGCTGGAGCCTCTGCCCGGCGCCAGCAGCCAGAGGCACTCCTATACGCACTCCACCCTTCTCCCCGGCGGCGCTGCCTGAGCAGAGGGCAAGCAGAAGCGAGGGGAAACCCCGCAGAGGAGCGGGGAGCCGCGGGGAGCGGGCTGCGGGATGCCAGTCCGGACGCGGGGCCGCCAGAACCTCCTCAGCTGACCCGACTGTCCCCGTCGTACCCCTCCATGCGGGGCTGACACGGCTGGGGCACAAAGCCACGATCCCCCCGGCCCCGCATCCTCCATCTTTCCGACCCCGCTTCCTGCTCGGCCCTGCGTTCTCTCCCCCGGAGCGGGGCGAGCGGGGCACCATTGGAAGGGGCTTCTTCTGCATCTGTCCTCCAGCTGCGTCTGTCAACAACTTGCCGAACCTGCGACGGGACTGGGCTGCAAACGACAGCCGAGAGGAGGGCTCTCCGTCCAGGAGCCGGCACTCAGGTACCCCTCGCTATCCCCGGCAGTGCTGCCTAGCCTTAAAGTATCTCTGCTGCTCGACCTCTCGGTCCTGGGGATGGAGGGCACCTTGCCTCCACAAAAGATCTCTTTGGAAACATTTGACTCCCACTCAGCCACACCGAGCCGTCCCGGGCTCTGTCCCGCATTCCCCGGCAGCGTCGGGCTGTTTTCCAGCCGCGTAGCAAGGGTGGGTGAACGGGTGCACAGGCTGCTTCGCGCTTTTCCATAGCAAATGCGACCGAGCAGCCGCATGAGCCCGAGACAGGATTTTGGGTCGCCAGGAAAGGGGTGATAAATGTCCCGTCCCCCCCGGCTCCTACGCGGTAGCGACGCACTCAGGAGGTGCGAGTTAAACGCCAGAGACTCGTCTCCCTGATTTCAAGTTCTGACCTGTGGAGAAGAGGAAATGGAAAGAGCATCGGATGAGATGCTGTTTCCTTCTCCTTTTCGATGGCTGGGGAAACGCTGAGCAACTTGGAGATACGATGTTGTGGGTGAAGAGGCACCTTTGGAGAGTTCCCTTCCTCTTCCCTTCACCTTCCCTAACCTTCCCTTCCCAACTTCCCTAACCTTCCCTTCCCAACTTCCCAAACCTTCCCTTCCCAAACCTTCCCAAAGCTTCCCAAACCTTCCCTTCCCAACTTCCCTAACCTTCCCTTCCCAAACCTTCCCAAAGCTTCCCAAACCTTTCCAAACCTTCCCTTCCTAAACTTTCCCTGCCCTTGCCCTGGAAAAAACCCAACCAACTGCAGAACAACTTCTGGAGGAACTGCCCATGGGAAGAGAAGGGGGAATGGTGGGGTTTTCTGTGGGAGGATTTACCTCCACAAACACACTGGACAAATAAATACAGTAAAAATAAATAAATAAAAAAAGGGGACTGAGCGATAGAAATATGAAATCAGGAAAAGTTGTGATGGTGGCAGAGACTGGCAGTGCCCGTCTTGTGGGGTCATCCCTGCCTGACGATGGGGCTGCAGGACTGGGGCACGGCAGGGCAGGGTATAGCTTGACTAGGCATACTTCTCCTGGGATGGATGTGAGCTTGGTGCTCTCAGGACATTCCTCAGATGCTGCTGCTAGTCTTAGGGGGAAACAACTATCCCTCCTTTCCCAGTGCTTCCTAGTTCCCATGGGGGAGGACCCCTTGCCCCCAGCTCCAGGGGTCCACCAGAAATTTGACACCAGTCCCCTGGCATTGGGTGTTTGGTACATTCTGTGGAGTTTCCTTTTGCCTCCACTCTCCCACCTCACCAGACCCCCCACCTGACAAGTCCAACACAGACCATACCTGCACAGACATCTCTTCTCCAGCTACATGGGGCCGGGAAGGAGGTGGGGGTAGGCTTGTGTTTTGATTAATATGGAAATAAAATGCAGATATAGCAGCAGTACTTAGCTTCATTGCTTCAGTTTAGAGATTTATTGACAAGGAGATAAACACTAGGCTGGGGGCCTTGCTCAGTAATTCACAGTCTCTATCAGTTATTACCAAATGAGCAAATCGTTTTTCTTTGAAGTCACAGAAGGAGGAAAAAATATATTAACGGGAAAAAAGTAATTTTTAAAATAGGTTGCTACCCCCTGCCCCAGGTCCAGACCCTAGGCTGCCTGCCCAGCTGCCCTGGTTGGGGTCCTACTCTCCAAGCAAAACTAATAAGAGGTTTATTATGGATTTGTGCCTCTTAAAATGCATGTGTCTTGCTCTGCCTCCCTCTGACTTTCTTTTGTATTTTTCTACTTGCTCCTATCCAAAATTTTTTATTTTGTATTTTCAGTTCTTTGCAGTCCTATTTTCCCTCCTGCAGAAGCAGGTAGGCATGGATTTGAGCTGGAAAGTGCTGTCACAAGATGACATCATGCTGCTGCCAGGGATAACAAAGGGGCAAGATTGAGAAGGGGAGTATAATCCTTTACTAGATGCAGTAATATTGTTGGCAAAAATGGGCACTTTGGAGGTACACAAACCCATTCTTAGGTCTGAAATGGAAACACCAAATTAGTAGCTAAGTGCAAGGTAAACACAAAAATGTAAGCAGACATCTTTCACTGGCGTTCTGTAAAATCTAAGGATTTGAATTTGTTGCTTCACATTCAGTGTCATTAGAAATACCTTG